TATATATATATATATATATATATGAAACTAGAAATGGAAAATTATTGATAACATGCATGATTAAGCCACTATGCAGTATATGTTGGATGGATAACCATTTTTTGTATTCTGTGACAATGATTAGGGGATGAATGTAAATTAATTAATTAAAATTTTTTTCAGGATAAACAAAATCATGAAAACTATTTTTCGTGGAATTTAAAAATATGCATATTTGAGGACTACAGTAAGTTATATAGTCCCAGCTGGGTGCTACTTAGTTGTATGTTCATTCACTGAGCTTTATGCCTAGAGTCAGACTTGTGTTCATGGGTATGTATATATCAGCTGTGCTTACTATTGGTAGTATTTAGATTAATTAAGTTCTTTAACAAATAAAAAAAATGGGGATAAAGGCATAGAAAGCAACCATGGATAACAGAGAAAGTGTGGGAGGAAGGTTGGACATGGCAGATGGTGAGAGATAGGGAATCAAGAATGGCAAAAATAACAAAATATACAGGAAATAGGAAATGGAAAATTCTTTGTTGACTACAACATGTATGTTGATGTGCTTGATTGAGCCAATATACAGTGTATTCTGGATGGGAAAAAAATGAGAATAAATACTAATAATTGGAGGAAAAAGTCTTAACAAAGATATTAGCCTGTACTTTACTTTTCTTGGGATTGTCTTGGTCTGGTTTAGGTATTAAGGTGATTTTTACCACCTTTTTGTTGTGGTTGTTGTTATCACTTTTAAAGTAATATTGGTAACAATTCTTCTTTTATTATTATCTATTCTCAGTTTTATAAACATTCAATCACAATACATTATTTTGCTTATAAAGAGAATTTACCTAAAATGAAATATTCCTCAGAACAATCCAATGAGAATACTATACATGTTATCATCAACAGGTAATAAACCATTTCTTTGTCCCTCTAATGTCATGCCTCTCTATTTGTTCTTGTGATACCCTTCTCTATACTCTTCATTCCTTCTCCCACCCATGCGCCATACTGTCTTCAGCATCCATAACTATTTTCACTGCTTTTTTGCCCTCCAATATTTCACTCTCTACCATAGAGTGTGGATAATCTGTTTATATTAAAGATACATACAATATCTTTCTTTCATAGCCTGGCTTGCGCCACTCAGAAATAAATCTTATATATTCATCCACTGTCTTTCAAATGCCAGGGTCTTGATTTTTATGGCTAAGTAGTATTCCATAGAGTATATGTGCCACACTTTTTCAATCCATTCATCTGTTTGTGGACATTTGGGTTGGTTCCATGTCTTTAGCGATCCTGAATAATGCTGCAATAAACATCGATGTGCAAGTGCTTTTCCAACCGAGCATTTTTCTATCCTCTGGGTAGATACCCAGAAGTGGGATTTCTGGATCAAATAGTACTTCTATTTGTAGATCTTTGAGGAACTCCATATTTTTTTTCACAGTGGCTGAACCAGTTCCCATTCCTACCAACCATTTAGGAGAGTTCCCCTTTCACCACAACCCCGGCAACACTTTTTGCATTTTTAATCTTTGCCATTCTGACAGGATCTAGGTGTATCTTGTGGTTTTTATTTTTTATAGGTATTTTAAAATATTTTTTTAATTCCAGGAAAGACATTTTTAGCTTTAATAAATCAGAATTAAAAAATATTAAGAGAACTTCACTTAGGACTTAAAGCCAGGAAGCAGGTTCGGATTCTGTTCAAATAGTAAGTTCATGGACCTGTAGACAACTCAAGAGAACACAAAAATTCTTAACTCTGGAAAACAAAGCATATTTGATCAGTAATGTTTTATACAAAAGTCAAAATTCTGTTTCACTAGTTTAGACTCATGTATTTAGTCTATCTTCTGTTGTGGTTCAATCTTTCCATTTAAATTTTGGAAGATAACGTTCAACTCTGGACTTGTCCCTATTATTAAGCTGGCCATTTTCTTAGTTGGTTTTGAACTCTTATTTCTGTGTGTCTGACTTTACTTTTTCTGATATAGCATTCCCTTAAGAACTTCTTGCAGAACTGGTCTGGTGTTGGTAAATTCTTTCAGGTTTTGTTTATCTCAGAATGTTCTTGTGTTCTCTTCTCATATGAAGGATAGTTTTTCTGGTCTAGTAATCTTGGTTGAAATCATTTTTCACTCAAAAATTTGAGCATATTTTCCCATTCTTTCCTTGCTCACATGGGTTCCAATGACAGGTCCACTGTTAGCCTGATGGGATATCCTTTGTAGGTAACTTGACATTTCTCTCTTTCCAATCTTAGTATCCAGTCTTTGTGGTTTTAGTGAAGTCCATTGTACTATCTGTGGAGGAAGAGGAGTTATTCTTTTCCCTTGGTTGAGAAGAAATTGCTTGGTTTCTCATATTTCTTTTGTCTCTGTGGTGATTTCTAATCATCTGATGGGTTATTTGTTCCTAATTTAAGAAGTTCAATCTGAGTATTCAGAGGCATGCAG